TTTGGCTTTAGGCAAGAAAGTATAGAAAACAAAACTGCAAATAACACAGTGGACAAGAGGCAAAGATAAGAAAAGGATAAAAGGTCTCAAAACTGTAACCAAAGGACACAGAACTTCCTTCCACCAAAAGAAAGCCTCTAGCCTTAAAACCTGAACCAGTATAACCTGTAAGGGGGCCAACACAAAAAACTGGTTCAAGCTTATCATATTCAAACTCTCTCAAGCTAAAACCTGTCAAACAGTTAGCAATCAAACTCAAGCCTAAAAGAACCAGTAAAGCTCAAACCTGTGCAAGAACCAGCAGCAATCAAACTCAAGCCAGTAAACCAGACCTCAAACCTTCCTGAAGCCTTACCATTCAAAGCCTAAGGCTAACAACCACGCCTTACCATTCAAAGCCTGAAGCAAAACCTACAGATTTTGCCAGTTTCAAACAAACTGCAACATAAACCTTAAACCAGTAAATCAATCAAAACCTGCAAGCTTAAACCTATCAGGCCAAAGCATAGTCAAAACAAACAACCAGCCTAACCATTCAAGGCCAAAACCTGTCAAGTTTAAATTAGTAAAACCATCAAAACCCTGTCAACTAAAGCCTGAAGCATAAACCAGTAGAAACAAGTTTAAGCCTGCCTGAAGCTAACAACCAAGCCAAAAACGCCCAAAACCCTGTCAAGCCCAAAGGCATTTAACAAGATCAAAACAACACAAATAACCTGTTAAAGTACTCAAACCCACAGACCCCCCTCAGAACTGCGTCCATCATTGGGGTAAGCATATCAACATACAAAATAACTCAAAACATCAGAACCAACCTAAACCCTCAGAGGAAGCCTCATCATAGGGGAAACATATAAAGTACCAAGGCATCAAGGCAACCAGAAGAGAAGAGGAAAAGAATCAAATATACTCAAAGCATTTCATAGCAAACGTCTCATCAACAGGCAACACAAGCATACAGAAGGCAACTCAGAGCCAACTGAAGAAAGTTAAAGAGAAGCCTCAGAAAATTATCTCACATCAAGCAAAACAAAAGCAAACAACTCAAAACCCTCAGAGTTCCTCATCATTGGGTTACCAACATAAACATAACATTCAAGATATCAAACACTGACCAAATCAATCTCAGCATACGAAGCATTCAAAGGCAACACGAAGAGGCCCTCAGAGGAAGCCTCATCACAGGGCAAGCGTCCAGGCAACAGAAGAAGGAGATAAAGAAGTACTGAATCATACAAGGCAGGCAACACAAGCATACAGAAGGCAGCAAAGCAAGAAGAAGAAAAGAAATGACATCAAATTAGGTTTTCAGAATGCATCATAAAACCTAAAGAAAAGTACAGAGTACCAAGTTCCAGCAAAAGCAAGCGAGCTCTCATCGCGCATCCTCGCCGCCGACCCTCCAAACGCTTCCAGGTTCCCTCCTCCTCTGTCTCCAAGAGGTAGTATACTCATCTCCTTTTCATGCATATCAAAATGATAAAAGAAAATACATAAATCAAAACCCAATCGAAACATAAAAATCAAAAGATACAACGAAAGCACTAACAACCTTACAAGCGTCGCCTGAGCAGTACACGGAGGGAGAAGGGGAAACGGTGGCGTGGTTGGCTTAGGCGAGGAGGATTTTGTTCTGAATCCATGGTTCTGGACTTGAGAGATGAACGAAGACGAAGATGAACAAACGGCGCGCTTCTGTTTCACAAACCCTAGGTTAGTCCCAAATGCAAACGAATCCAAACAACCCTAAGACAAAAACTTGTCACAAAACCTGGGCCTTCCCCCCATTCAGCGCTTAAGGCCCAAAAAAACGTTTTAAATTGGCACCCCCCCCCCCCCCCCCCCCTTTTTGAATTCTAATTCTGATTAAGCCCTTTAGGCCCATTCCCTCTTTTTATATTTAAGCTAACTTTTTTTTACTTATCCCTTTTTCCTACATTTTTAAACTAACCTAATCTTATATGTAAATAAAATTACCTTAATTCTTTTTATTTATTTCATATAGAATTTTCTTTACATGAACTTTAGGGTTAATTAGATTAATAGATTTTTACTTTAATTTTCTTTTGTATATATAAATCCCTTTATACACAAATCACTAATTAAAATATATTAATACATAAGAAATACTTTGTCTTAAAACATTTCCTTGTTTCTAATTAAAATAATTTTATTTGTACTAATATATAATTTTTCTTTAAGATTAATACTTTTCTTTTCTTAAGATTAATACTTAATTTGTACATAATTAACAAAAGAACAAATACATACTTAATAATACATTTAAATTCACATCTCGCACTTATAAATAATTCTCATACACATACACGTACACTTACACTTACACAATATACTTACATTTGATACATTATACATTTGCTTATTTTGTATATTCGTTACATTTACACTTTTATCGCGATTCGATTTGGTTGTAAATTATTGGACACTACATTCTTAAAGTCTCATCCCCATTTGTAAATTTGTACCCCCACTCCCGGATACTATTTATAATAGCGTAGACTTTAAATTCTTGCAATTTATCGCTTTCCAATTATACCATGGTTAGACCTAGGGTTTACATGTACATAAAATCAAACGCTAGATAACCTAATACAAAGACAAATGCATGAAATCAATACACAATCACACTTGCACCCCCCTAGGGTAATCCCACATGTTGCCTTCCAAAATGGGCCATGCTTGCACGTCGAGTTTCTTTGGCAAAACAATTCAAAATGATCATAAGTCCCTCGATGACGCTTTCGAAAGTCGCCTATCAAAATGATCAAGTCCCTTTAAGCAAATTGCCAAAGACACTTGGCACCATTGCATTCATGGTCCATACGATGACCCGCGCCCGTCCCGTTAAACTTCCTAAACGCAAGATTATCCACCAAATTCAATGGTGGAACAAAATTGTTAAAAAGGGTTGAAAACATAGAGAAAACCTTTGAGTACAATAGGGGTAGACAAAACTCTTAGTTACTTGAGATCAACTTGCAAAAACACTTGCCTTCTTTTCAAAAACCACACTTCACCAACACTTTCAAAACAAAACTTTCAAAAACATCTTGAAACATCTTTTCGAAAAGATACACACCTTCGTATATACTCAAACACGAGTCATTACATTGGTTGCCTAAGACAAGGCATCTCTTCAAAAACATTTTCAAAACACACACGCACACCACAATTTCAAGCAATCGAAAATCAAGGCAAGTGATCTAAAAAAAATCAAGTAACTAAGAGCCCATGGATAACCATGGATGAAAAGGGTGCTAATACCTTCCCTTTTCATAATCTACCCCCCGAACCCACGAAACATCTCAAAAAGGTTTTTTCCTGTGCTTTTAACCTTTCCTTTAGGATAAAAATAAAAAATCGGTGGCGACTCTTGCTCAACCGAACAAGTGCGAATACAAACGCAAAACCTCAAGTCAGTTCTCCCACCGTATCACACTCTCAATATGAGAGTAAAAACCACGAGTTGTCCAGACCAAAGAAAATAGATCCACTATAATCAATTGAGTTTACAAGAGATTCTTAAATTGATTCACAAAATAACGGTAACAACCGCAAATCAAAATGCAAACTAACTTATAAATAAGAATCAAAAAGCTGAAAAATTTCCCAAATCTACAGCTTCAATGCGAAGATCATATCTCTCAACTCAGAACTTTTTCTGAAGATCCCAATGGTAGAAAGTTAGATATATGTGTTACGAATAAGTCCACCAAATAATGAACGAGTTATGAGTTCCCCGACAGTCTTCTTCAAAAGAGATTTTTATCAATTCCCTTTACTTACCATCAACGGTCGCATCTAGCTCTCTAGCTCAGTTATCTTTGCACTCTTTCTCCCATTATCATGATCTTGATCACTTTAACCTTGATTGAGTAAGCTTGCACATGTGTGATTCTTTTAGCCTAAGGTATTGAGATTATGGGTTTTTAAGTTTGGTCATTGAATCTTGAAACTTTTTTATACGTGGAATGAGTTAGTGATTAGGTTTATGTTGGTCTAAACTAGACATGATAATTGGGACAGAGCGGAAACCAGATTTATTTTTCTGTATCCAAATATGAATCTCAATTAAATATCTATTCTCACCCTAAATCCAAACATAAATAATAATTAAACCCAAACTTCATCCTAAACAGGTTGGGTATCTTCTCCTAGGCCATCCCCGCATCAAAATTAACTTTTTTTAAAGTTGAAATAGTCTATTATTCAAATCTATAATTTTTTAAAACTCTAACCAATATTAGAAATAATAAATCAACATTATTTTCAAACATAAATTTCAAAATTTTCAATAATAAAATACAAATCAAAATATTAATATTTTAAATTATAAAAAAAAAAAATCTTAAATCATCAACAAAACAAGTTAGAGTTTTGTGTCTCAATTACCTATCATGTCTTCATCTTTTAAAATCAATACAAATTCATATTTAAATACGAATTCATTTAAAACTAGTGGATATTGGTTCTGTTACAAAATATGTATCTAACAAAACTTAAATGTACTTTAAACATACTAGAGTGTCTAACTTACTTTATTTTAAGATTATATCTACTTTTAGTTTACATTTTAAAAAATTATATAAAATACATTTTCATTTTCATTGAATCTTTATATTTTAAAATATGAAATTTTCGTCTTCATATTTTTAAAAAATGACTTATTTTCATCCTTGAAATAATGATTTTTTTTGTGTTGAATAAGTAACAGATTGGCAAGTCACTAGATCATGTGGCATATTGAAGAAGTATATTGGAGGATATTTACGTAATTAAGAAATCAACAATATTTCATATATTAGTATTCTGTAGTAATCTTATATGAGAAGTTGGGATAAAAAAATCTCATATAAGTACATAAAGCCATAGACATGCATGCATAGCATAATTAACTTTAAATTAACAAATACACCCATTTTTACCACTTTTTTTATCTTTATTAGTCCATCATTGCAAGTTCAATTCCATGAATATGTCTATGGTCGTGGTTCCCAGTTAAAAAATGTGTCTTGCTCTGAGTCATGTTGTGTCCCATCATTATCCAACACTTGTTTGAACCCTTGTATTCCATCTTTTGTAACATACCAGTCACAATATTTTTTACACCTTTTAGAAAAATCCCTTTTTTGTTTGTATATATCATATGTTCCTTGACCGTTAGTCCATGATATATGACAAAAGAATAATGTTGAACCCCAAATATTAGGATGGAAATCCCACTGAAAATGTTGATTATCATGAAGCACTTGATTCCCTAAATCATCATTTTTGGATTTGCAATGAACATCAACATCATAACCTCCTAGTTGATTGTAAATGCGCACAGTTGTTTTGGGATGTAAATTTATTTGTTGTACACCATTTTCTATTGTCGAACGGATAGCAAATGCAAAAATAGGAAGAAGCACAACTGAGAGAAATAACAACCAAAGTTGGTTGCTAATTGAAGCCATGTAATAATTGTTTTGGTGCAAAGCTAGCATACTATGATAATATATATAGGTGCTATAGCTTGATTGTTTTATATTAAAATATATGGCATGCAAAATTTGTGTAATTAGAAAATGAGCTTATAAATCGGTTAAATGTAAAGATCGTGTAAATCTAATGCATCAATTGAAAACACACTAATTGTAACTTCTTTTTGTGGACCACACACATAGGTATTTCACCATAGTCTGCATTGATTCATGGTTTTCTATCTTTTGTTTTTCTCTCGACCAAACAGGCAAAAATTGTTTTTTTTTCCCTCCCACTTTCTTTTCAAATCCAAAGTGCAATTGTTTATAAATATCCTACAATGGATGGAAAACTTCAAGAGATATTTTCAAACTTAAAGCAATGTGTGGAAATGATAAGGCAGGCATTTTCCTTGATTCTACCTAATAAACACAGTTTGTCTAGTCTTCGTTTTCCTCTGGTTTCACAAAGAATTCAATATGAGCTATTCGACCAGGTTGTTGATAGCCAGCAGAATCTGCATAAGAGTGCGATGCAGGTTTGGAAATTGAAACCAGATGCTGCACTTTTAACATTCCACCTCTCCCAATGCTTAATTTGCTTCCTCTATTTTCTTTAATAACACTACTAGGCATATTAGAAGTTGATGCTCTGAGGAACTTATATTTATACCTGTAAACCATAAGCAAAGAAATGATACATAAGTTGATGGAAGGGAAATGGTACGATGCTTCTAAGTAAAAATTTCTTTAAAGTTAAAAAATAATAATACTTGAAAGAAGCCCGATGATCACACTGAAATGCTACCAAGAGTTCAGAATTCACAGAATACATGAAGTCTATCTGAAAATAGATAATAAAAAAATTGTGAATATGCGCAAAAAAGCATGTAACGATTTGAGTCAAAAGCATTACAAACCTGCAAGTCTCCGTGTCCTTCAGCTCTCAAGGTAACACAAGGAGGATCCGGCTCCATAGTTATCTGGATGCTTGACCCAGGCCATTCAAGATCCTCAATAGCTTCCTTTAGTGCTGCAGACTAAGGCCAGTTTGGATCAAATTTCAACTTATAGGAGATTCCCAAATTTTATGGTTCGTTACTAACAAACAAATTCAAATAAATATATAGAAGTGCATGAAGAAGTTAGACAGGAAAGCTTCAAATAAATTAAGATACAGGAGATAATTTTAACTTATATGAGACGCTGTTGTTTAAAAAACTATTGGATATCACAAGATTGTTTTAATATTTCTGTTTCCAATGTGTCTCTTCAATAGTTTATCTATACAAGCCCTAGGTACAGTTTAATAATAATCAAAATAACAGTTAATCATATGTAAAAGCTATGGTTTCCGTATATCAATTGTAGGTAAGCATGTACACCCATATAATCTAGATTAAAAAACAACAGAAGCACAAATTGTAGCTTATCATATTAAAAACAGAAGCATAAAACCTAAATATTTAAAGATTCATTGACAACTTCAATTTTTTACTGCAGATTGCAGAATTCATAATCAATATTTATTGTCATTTTATAAACGCTGTGTGTATTACTAAAAGGTTAACTAGTTTCTAGTGATATAATGGTTGAATGACAGGTAATCCCGTTAATAGTCAGTAAACTTTCTATCAATAAACACCATTATTTTTTTATCAATTTCCACCATTGAACAATTTCATTAAACCCAAAATTTTGTAAATGGCCCTCGAGGTTGCAGGGAATTGGTAAGCAAGTTCATTCGAAAAATCCAAGGACACCCATACTATGTCACCATACAAGCTGATTGGCAAGTCATCCGAGAAATTTATGGCATACCTTAACAGTAAAGGTTAAAGGGTTAGCCCCAGCAGGTTCAAAGTTGTAGTCCCATGCAATAGTATCAGGAATCCTTGTTCTGATCTCTGCACAAATACTGGCATCCAGCGAATCTACAGATCTAAAGATGTGGAGGAAGTACATTTAAAAAACAGTTATGACAATTCTATGAAGTTTTTTCGATGTAGAGCTCAAAAGAACTATGAGTGATCAGATCAAGAATTCTACTCAATAAACTACAATTATGACAATCATTCCGAAAGGAATAGCACCTTCAATCGAAAATTCTTAGTTGATAAAGAAATTTCCATTCTGGGGAAGTTTTGTTTACAATAAATAATAAGAATTACAACATACAAGTGTCTGACAAATTATAATTGGATTTCAGTAACCTGTGAATATTTTGGTGCTATCAGTCACTTTTATATCAAGCTAAGAAACCTAATTAGATGTAGAAGGTTAGAAGCTGTTAGAACTTGACTTAAATCGTGACAAGCCATCTGTTGGAATTTGGGACAGTCATACATGTAAGTGATTTCTTGATAGCAGGGTGATTTTCACTAATAGGATTATGGATCATGATTCGTTTATTTTATTCAAGTATGATTTTACAACTAGTCATGTGTCAAGCACACATAAAGCTCAAATACTATTGGTGTTTTCAAATATTGGCCATGGCAGCGCTAAGGCAGATTGCCATGGCATTCTTTTTTGAGAACTGCCATCGCCAATTTGTGAAGGATGGCGGCTCCCTGACGATTTACGATGGATATGGCAGCTTTAACTGGAAGAGTTTTGGCTGTCCGCCATTGATAACACACTTAACTATAAAAGAAGGAAAATGCTAATGTATGCCCTAAGGGAATATATTAGGGAGTCAAATGTGGAAATATTGCTTTGAAAATTGTGCATTCAATTCCTTAAGAGTTTAAAATTGTTTTTTCCAATACAAAATTTCTATTTTTGGAATCCTTAACACATGGCCTTAGGGCACATGTTAGCATGACCCATAAAAGAACGGTATAAGGCATATAGCAACTTGTTTAGTTGCCCGGTGTACAAGAAGTGAGAAAGGAAGTGGTGCCAAACGATTAAGAGAAGGGCATACATGGAGCTTTGGGACTGGATTTGGATTATCAACACTAGTTCTTTTTGTGTTGTTTATTCACTCAGTAAACTGTTCACAACCTCGAATATTAAAGCAAATCATTATAAAACAAATATGATACAGGGGATAACATCATACATAAATGACAACTATAAACTTGATGCTAGATGGTGAATAGTAAATTATGGTGTCAGGCCAAAAAATACCACTGCAGACTATGGTGCCGCCATGGCAGATATCTCATTATAAACTGCCTATAGCAGCTTGAAATGACAAACTATTCTATTCTGCCATGCACAATCAATAAGACTGTTAACATGCCATCTCATGTACAGTAGGGTTTGTTTGATACTGCATTGCATCCAGCTACAAGATCATGGAGATTACGCCTTACCCATATTTTATTTTATTTTGGTCCTACACTTTTTAAGAAAGACCACACCTGTCAAGTCTCAACTACCCAATTCAGCATAAAAATCTTTATTGGAAATGGAAAGCCCATTATTCAAGTATGATCACATTGAATGTCGGATAAGCAATTGCGAGCATAAATAGCAGCTTGCACAAGAAGCTTAAATCCCTACATTCACGCAATCACTGATTTGAACTGCTAGATTAAGATTTTAATTTGTAAGGTTCAAGTTCCGACTTTGATTTTGTACCCAATTTACCGAAGTCTGAACATGTGGGCCTAAACTTAATCAAGCAGTTCAAATAGCATGACTACATCAAAAACACGATTCCCTAACTTTCGGGAATCCAGTTCTACTTTCATAATTGCTATGTGCATGACAGTTAAAAAAGATGGCCAGTAGCAACTTTAGGACTGGAACTTAGGGCTGTTCAAAAAAAAGATGAACCGAATTGAACCGTCGAACCAAACCGAACTGTTATGTTTGGTTAGTGAACCGAACTATATTGCACAAATAGTTCTAGAACCGAACCATATGACAAATAAACCCAACCGAAATCGAAAATGAAAAATACTAAAAACTAGTTTTAATTTTTTTTTTTTAAATCGAAAAAGAGTTTAACTGTTCGGTTCTCAAATGGTTCGGTTTGTGAAAAATTGTCTTCTAACAGTTCGGTATGTTTCGGAATTTTGAAACAGTATACCAAACCAATAATTTTGATTCGGTTATTAAAACGGTCAAGTTCGCTTAGAGTGGACTTTTACTATGGTTTGATTATGTTCGGTTCGGTTTTGTCAGAGAACTATACTATGAAGAGCCCTAGCGGAAGTGATTTCTACTCAATAGTTATAGTGAGTGTTTGGAAGCAAAGTAGGTAGCCAAACAATGCACATAGTTGCAAACATACAAGTGTGTATGAATTTGACCTAAATGATCACTACAAGTTTGTTGAAGTTCTAAATTATAGAGTTAGTTTTAAAAATCTGAAACATCCACATTCGAGAAACATGATATAAAAATATAGATAGTGCAATTTATCTAATTTTTCAACACAGAAAAAGTTAGCAGTTACATACTTGAGAATAACTTGCATATCAGGACCTGGATACTGAATCTGAATCAAATTGGAATGCCCGGGAACAGAAAATGCGTTCAAGCAATCAACAAAAAGCCCTAAACTGACTCCAAAACGAGGTCGTCCTTCTGCAGTGTAATCATAGCGAATGAAGAGCTCTTTTTTGAGATAAACCTTGGCTTGGAGGCAACCGCTTTCTTCCACGATCAACACTATGCCGTGTTCGGATAACTCTAAAACGGCGTCTTGCTGGCGTTTCCACCTGACGGAAGTTAAGGCGTCGACTAAGCCTTGAACGTTTTCCAGTTGGCATAAAACGTCCGGTGCTTCTTCCTCCATTCCTGACATCGTCGGTATGAAACGAAACCCTATGCTCTTTGCAAACTTCTGTTGGACAAGTTCTGTTTATTCCCTTCATTTCAAACTTAAGCTTTGTGTTTTCGCTGCTACCTAACTTACTTTTTAAATTTTAAAAAGTTGGGAAAGTTATACGTCTCATTTGCATTTCATCATTTTACAAATAATAAATTAAATGAACTAAATGCAACTTTATTAAGAGATGAAAATTAAATTTATG